CTACAACCACTTTAGCAAAGGGAGGGGGAAGTTGTGATATGTCATGTGACACTGCCATGATGACATGAGTTTGACACCCCTGTCCTCAAGCCCCTACTTTTTGAAATGTAACCCATACAGTTCATGTTAAAGATCAAATATGCCCCTCGGTCTCAAACTTGCATCAGTCTTTTGAGTAACTGCCACATGTGATCATTTCACCATTAAAAAACCCCCCAGGTTCCTTTGAAATGTGAGTACCAGAAACATTAACACACATTCATGGATTTGCAAATACCAGGCAAAACAATGGTGAAATGCTTTTTTTTTTTAAACTACCGGTTCTGTGGGTGTGGCTTGGTGGGCGTGGCAGGGGAAGGATACTGCAAAATCCCTATTCCCTCCTGGCTCCTGGTGCCAGCAAGTGGTGGTATTTGTCAGTTCTCCGAACTGCTCAAAATTTCTGCTACCGGTTCCCCAGAACCTGTCAGAACCTGCTGAATTTCACCCCTGAGGCAAACCCCAGGATTCCATTATGATATCATCACAGGTGATTTAGGTAGTGCATGAGGTCACATGGAGCAGAGGAAATGTGGGTCATGCTTCTTCTAGGCAAATACATTTCTTCTGAGCTACACGGTGATATTTGTAGGAAGTTCTTTGTTCAGCATTAATGTGGAGGACCCCTTTAAAAAGATGGCAAGATGCAGCTGCTTGTACTTCTGTTTCTGGTGTCCTCCATGACTGTCTCTTATGCAAGTAGGTGGAATCCTTTCTTAATGTGTTTAATTCCATACATCCCAGAAGAAAAAAACATAATTTTGGAGCTGTCCACGCCATACTGTATTATCACAGAGGACTGGCTAAGACATACAGTTCCAATGAGCTTACACTTAACTTTCTCACACTTGGAAAATGCGCACAAATTTAGAGGAATGAATTCCACTTTTTTAAAACAGAATTGAGAACATTGCCTACTGTTCCGATTTCTTCATGTGGCCTGAGTTCCAAATTCAGAGCCACTTCCTGGACAGTACCAAGAATCAAAGAAGGAACCTCAGCAGGGACATCTGAAACCCTACTCTGGCAGGTCAGCATTCGAACCAAAGACAAGGTTATCTGCAGAGGAGCAATTCTGAGCAGCTGGTGGATCCTGTCTGCAGCTCACTGCTTCACGGAGGACCTGTGAGTATTGCAGAGAAGATGTAAGAAAGATGTCCATACATTTGTGGGAAGTGCAAACATATTTAGGAAAATGGTTTAGGTTTAGGTTTAGGTTTAATTTTATTTGTATGCCGCCCTTTTCCCAGAAGGGACTCAGGGCGGCTCACAACTCAAAAAGG